GGAGCCCAGCGCCCCGAAAGTGGGGAGTGTCCCATTGCCCCCACTACCCCCCCGGGAGGGTTCCGTCCCCCCGGGCCACTCCCTGCCCTGCCGCGGAGAGGACGCACAGGCCGAGGCCGACGGGAGCCAGGGAGTCTTCAACAGTTTATTAGAAAGAATGCAGACATTAAAAAAATCCCAGCTGCTCTGAACAGAAGTTGAGGTTGCCCAGCCCGCCGCGGGCACCGCCGCCCCTCCCTCTGCCTCTTGCTGCCAAACCCACAGTGCAAATACGATTTGGTCTAAACATACAGATTGACAAGCAACAATGTACAGCCACTCACCCCGGGAGGGGGGAAGCCTTGGGGGCACACGGGACAGGCTCCGGCCACCGGCGCCGGGCGGGGCTCGGGACACCAAACCAGGAGAAACTGTTTCCTTTGCAAGAAAATCTTTAGTGGAACAGACCTGAAGACACCATAGAGGGATGTGCCTCACCTGCTGAATTTGGGGAGCCAATGACAACAGTTTTGTTCCCAGTATAAACAATTTGAGGCCGTGGAAAGGGGAAAATGCTGATTTACCACTCGGTGTGAATTCAGGGTTCTCCCGCTGGAATCACGAGGCAAGGAGGCTCCATTAGCTTTATTGCAACGGTTCTCTCAGGATTGCCTACACCTCAGGGGGGTTTGGAAGTCTGGTTCATGCATAACGTTATTGCCTCTCGTGGCTTAGACCGCCCCGTGCCATGGGACACACCTACCATCAGTGAAGCCATTTAGAATGGACTGAAAATGGGTTAAAGGATGCAGGATCTCCCTTTAGGGCTATCAACTCAGGAATTCTTATCTCAATTATGAAATGCTGTGATGAAGTTCTTTCCCCAAACCCTGAAGACGACAGTTTTCCTTACTCCAGATCTGGCATTTCTAGAGACAGAGAGAGAAGAGAATTAGTGTTCAGGGTTGGTCTGATTGGGTTTTAAACCCTCCCAGAGCCCATGATGTCACAAGGGACAGAAGCAAGACGCTCTGGCCCCCAGCCCACGAGGGCTGTGACGCCCTGAGCATGTGTAGCTCCTGCAGCCAAAGCCTCCCAGGGCTGCAGCTGCCCGGGAAGGTCAAACGGTATGTGGGGCTGTGGTGAGGCTTTCCCAGATCAGTCTGGGGGCAGCTCTGGCTTTAGGTTGCAGCCAGGACTCAGCAGTCCTGGGTGAGCACCTGCTGGCACTGCTCAGGACCAGCCCAGGGACTCAGCAGGTATGGGAGGAGCAAAACCAACTTACTTTCATCATCACTGTCTGGTGAGTCCTGGAAAGGAGAACAAACTACATTAAGTGGAGCAGATGGTGCTGAGGTGCCTTTCCTTTACCACCACCCCTCAGCAATGAGTGCTGTTCCCAAATCCAGCAGCAAGCTGGATCCCTTCTGTCAGAGCAGGGATTCTGAGGGTCTGTAAGTTCCTCAGGGCTCGGTGAGCTCAGTCTGGCCTCACTGCAGAGCTCACAGACCCACAGCAACAGAGGTGCAGACACCAAACTGCACCCTACACAGTCTCCTAGCACTGCTGTGCAGAGCAGGGAGGCAACTTCACCAGGTGACATCACCTGTCCAAACAGGGTTTGGGGCTATTTAAGTCTTCTGCAGTGCTGAAAAGAGACTAGAAGACTTCTGAACAAGATTTGCACATATTTAGCTACAACCACACACTCACATCATCTGCCCCATCTACTTCTGGCAAGTCTACGTCATCGTCTCCATCCATGTTGTTCATCATCTGCTCGGAGAGAGAAGAGACATGTTTGGGGTGAATCCAACCCTGTTCTCTACCTAAAACCAGCCTGAAATGGTTCTAAACCAACAGCTCCAGGTGCTTTGACAGACCAGTTGTCCCCATGCAGGAATTACAAGGTGAGGATGCAAGAAAACTTGGATTCATTGCCCTGTAAACCCAAACTTCCACGAGTTCATCGTCCCCTACCTCAGAAAAGCGATCGAAATTGGACATATCTTCATCTGAATCATCTTCCCAGTCTTTCCAGTTGTTGAAGTCCACGCTGAGCCAGTTGAGCTGCACCAACACAAGGAGTTATTTAAGGACAAGGAGTTATTTAAGGACAAGGAGGTAACCAGCTGTCAGTCAGAACAGGCAGCTGAGTGAGAGCTGCTGTCAGATGAGGAACAGAGTCACTGCTCCATAATTCAAACATGACCCAAATACGTACTAAATTAAAAGCCATGGGGAGGCAGCAGGTGCCCAAACCCACCTTTGCCCTCTCTTTTGTTAACCTTGGCCATGCCTGACCAGACTCTCCTTTTCGTAAACAACACAAGATGGATCTGTCTGTTCTTTTATGCTTTGATTCCTGAAAAAGAGCAAATATCCATTAGTTCCATCAAGATGAACTCCACCAGGAACTGCTGACATGCCTCATTTGTCTTAAGCTCTCCACTTGTTCCTTGTCCTGGAAAATACCACCCAGAGATGCTTTCGTGGATCCAAGTTCAAGTGCTCTCACACTCTAAGGAAAAATTTGCTCAAAATCCCAGGAGCAGCCTAAAGAGCAGATAGTATTTTTCAGGACCACATAACCATGGAATGGTTTGGGATGAAGAGCTCACCCAAGAGCTCACCCAGTCCCATGTGTGCCATGGGCAGGGACACCTTCCACTAGCCCAAGCTGCTCCAAGCCCCATCCAACCTGGCCTGGAACACTCCCAGGGATGGAACATTTCTCTGGACAGCCTGTCCCAGCCTCACCAGGCTCCAGCACTAAAACACAGGAGAGAAGAACCAGGAGGATACTCACGTTTGGGTCAATGTTATTAAAAAGGTCAATTTCGTTTAAGTGTTTAAAGTTATCACTTCCTCCAAGACAACTGAAAGAGAAAAACAAGTTGGTGTTTAGCCCAAAATGTTCCATAGAACAAACTTGCTCCTGCTCAGCCCCAGCCCAGCCCCAGGTACCTCCCCTGTGCCCGAGCTCCTCACCTGAAGGTGAGTTTGGACTTCTCGAAATTTACACTGACATCTTTGCTGTCTTCCACACAGAACTCGACAAAGACATAGTCCCTCCGGTCGTACCACTTGGCAGAGGCAGGCTGCCTGCAGGCATAGCAGCGAGACAGGGGCAAGGTTTGCATCTCTCACTGAGGAATCCATCACAGAAACTCCCTCCCGCTCTTAGAACCTGCACTTCAAGCTTACTGTGCACCTCTAAACGTGTCTAAGGCTGGAAGATGTGAATAAAGAGAAGTGACGCCCCCAAAAAGCTCCTGGGAGGAGCCACCAAACCTGAGACCGAAATAAACGTTTCAGCGTGTCAGAATTGTGACAAACTTCCCACGATGAGCTACTACAGACCATGGCAGCAGCTCCACCACCTCCAAGAGCTGCCCAGGCAGACTTCAGTGTGGTTTTTGTCACCCTAAGAGTTACAACTCCAAGGAAAACCATTGAAAAAAACCCTCATTTTTGGACATTGATACTAGTGAAATGGATTTTCTCTGGTGAAGACCTAGCTGAAGCCAGCACAGGTCCATGAGCTGCTCCAACCTCTCCTACAACCTCCTGCAAGCACAGACTCGAACTCCTATGCACTCTGGGACTCTCCTGCCTCTCCACAACAGCAAGAGTGTGTGCAGGACAGCTGGGAGTGCTGCAAGGCTCTGACCAGCCCTGTCCCCGTAGTCCCACACCGAGGACTCACCTGGACACACTCCTCCCCCTCCAGCCATTCCCTGGCAGCTGAGCCCGGGAACGCCTACATTCCAGGGAACCAAACAGCCTCCCAGCTGGGTGGTTGCTACAGCACAGAGTTTCTCACACTCACAGAATGGTTTGGATTGAGAGGACCTTAAAGCTCACCCCAGTCCACCCCCTGCCATGGGCAGGGACACCTTCCACCAGCACAGGTTGTTCCAAGCCCCGTCCAACCTGGCCTGGAACACTGCCAGGGATGGGGCAGCCACAGCTGCTCTGGGGAATCTATTCCAGTTCCTCAGCACTCTCACAGAGAGGGATTTTTCCCAGCTGATGTCCCTGCAGAGGCCTTAGCAACCCAGTGGAGGTGGATGAGGGGGAAGGCTCCAAGCCGGACAGTCACTTCCTGTGGTGCTCACTGCAGCAGCACTGGCTGCAGAGAGCTGAAACAGGGGGACAGGAGGGAAGCTGATATGACAGCCTGTGACAGCAGCTGCCACCTCAGCCAGGAGGCCCTTTGGGCTCAGTGCTGGGTCCTAAGCACATTACCTACTCAGACCATCTACCCTTGATAAACTTTCAGAACAGATTCCAATTCACCTGATCATCGATAGATGAATTCTTAATTAAGTCACTCACTGAGGGCTGCATGTTCCCCAAACGCCCCATGGCTCATTCCTACCTGCTCCCCATCCATGCATCCCCTCAGGATGAACCAACCAGGGCCCAGCCCAGCCCTTGCTGAAGCCCAAACCTGCCAGCTCTGAGCTCCTCCAGTGCCATAGGTACTTGGGTACACTGGTGCCAGCTCAGGGAAGACTGGAACAGCATTCTCAGTGGTGCAAGAACACCCTGGTCAGAGGCCAAACCCCACGTATTTAACTTCCAAGAACATAAACCCAAGTGGTTTCCGAATTCAGCCTTGAGGTTCAGCTCCCAGGGGTGAGAACCTGATGTGTTTTAGGGAATGTCAATTATCACTTCGTTCAGGTGAAGTGCAGCAGCAATGCTCTTACTGTGGTATTTTTAACTCCTTCTCGGACACAAGTTTCCTCCTCCAACAGAGAATGAATGAGCCTCAGAGGATGAGAAACACTCAGCTCTGTGCAGAACCCCAGGGAGACAAACCCCCAGCGTGGGGCACTGGGGATGTTATCCAGCCTCGTTATCCAACAACAGAAATCCCAGTGTCCCTGCCCGGATGACGCAGGGGCTGAATAGTGTTAACGCTTCCCCGTTCTCAATGTCAATGGAGACATCTCCAGCCCTCCCAGGGAGCCATATGTGTCCCAGCTTGAGCACTGCCAGGACCTTACTCCGCTCCAGGACCCATACACGTCGGAGCTGGAGAGGAATGAGGCCCCAAATAAATTTTATTCAGCTCTATCTCCTGTGTCTGGTCTAGACCTGTGCTGCTTGCCAGGACCTCAGCACTCTCCGCCCTGAGCTGCCTTCCACCCTTTATCTGCTTGTCCAATCTCACCCTCCCAAAGGAAGGAGGGAAACCTCCCTCTGAGCCTCAGCCAGGACTCACCGTTCCAACCAGTCTCGCAGGACGCACCGGAGCTGCCGCCCAGGACTGGGGGTGGCACAGCCACAGCTCCTCCGCATCACCCACGTGGAGACAGGGAGACAGCACAGCCCTGCACAGCTGTGCACCTGCTCCCAGCACTCCAGAGGTGCTCCCACACACCCACAGAGCCCTCCTCTCACACAGCCACTGAAACACTCCAGGGCCCGTGAGCAGAGTCACAGAGCCTGCCCAGCCAGACCCCAGGGGCCTCAGCTGCCCAAGGTGCTCTGCTATCCCTCACCCCCTCAGCATCCTGGGATGGAGCTCTCTGCAACAGAGAAGGTGGTTCCAGTGTGCTCCATCCCAGGGAGCAATCACACCCACAGAGCCCTCCTCTCACACAGCCACTGAAACACTCCAGGGCCCGTGAGCAGAGTCACAGAGCCTGCCCAGCCAGACCCCAGGGGCCTCAGCTGCCCAAGGTGCTCTGCTATCCCTCACCCCCTCAGCATCCTGGGATGGAGCTCTCTGCAACAGAGAAGGTGGTTCCAGTGTGCTCCATCCCAGGGAGCAATGAAGCAGCGTGGAGTGGCTCCAGTGAGGCGCTCCCCCCGCCTCTGCTACCCCAGTCACCACACTCAGGTGACCAGTGTGTCACCAACACTGCAGAACAGGTTCTAGAAGCTTCCCAGCAGCATTTTTTCCTCTGGCTCAGATTCACTCCGGAGTCCTCACAGCTCTGCCTGACCTGTGAGGCTCCGTGGGCCTCCCCACCATGATTCCAACTGGGATGTGCTTGTTCCTGGCATAGCAGCAGCTCCTGACACGCTGAACTCACCAGTAGGACCTCAAATCTCACCGTCTGTGGCGATTAGTTAAGTTTCCAGACCTCTCCTCTTGCTCCTCATCTATATCCTGCACCTGGAAGTATCCTGACAGCTCCTACAGCTTGAGGACACTGAGGAATCACCTCCCCAACAGGATTTTCACCCCTAGAGAGGAGTAAAACCTGTTCTACTGAATTAATTTCCTTTTCATTTACACATTCTGAAAAAGTCTCTTTTTTCCATTAAAAAAAGCCTCATTTGAGCCCTTAGGCAGTTCTGGCAGGAGCTGACAGTGACCAGTGTGGAAGTGATGAATTCCACAGACATCAGGTGAAAAAACTCCAACCGTACCACATCCTTCTCACTCTCAGTCACACCAGGACAGAGCAGCTCCAGCTGGGGTTTCACAGCACCTCGTGGGGACATGGACCAAAGCCACTTGAGCCTGGTCTCGTCCCCCAGGG